TATCTATTTACAACAAACGCAACACACCAGACGAACTGGCTTTGCCACCATAACCACACATCCTATAGCTACATAACACAACATGACTAATTTCTACAAGCTTAATCCAGTTTGGGAGAGTGTGTTGCAAGTAGTTCATTTGCAGATTCATCAGAAAACGAGCGGCCTACACTGCGCTGAATCGACATCGGAAGGACAGTATGGACACTTGAAGGATTTTGTGCCGTTCTTTGACATCTTCGTAATAGACTGCTTGCAAAGCACATGTCCACATGACATCAACATAGGCGGATTTTCTTCAGTGGATTGTTCCTTAGACACTGGACACACAAATATAGAATGGAATTGAAACTCACGGTCTAACTCCACTGGCACAGGTAACTGCTTCATAGACTGCCATTCCTGTCTCTTTCCTGCCATTACGTTCATAAATTTGAGAAGAGGTGGCAACCCCTGAATCCCTGCCGCCATAGTTACACTCAATGGGCTCTCATAAGACTGCCCCAGAAGATTGCAGAACTGCCTGGTTAACTCTCCAGTCACTTTGTCCCAATTGGCCGGAGATAATAAGTGAGAGTATGGGGAGCGATCAAGCCTTCCGGTCCACAGAAGACACACCATCAGCTTTTGAATTTCAGCCATATGGTCAGAAGCAAAAGGAGCAAGATAAGTTCTGGCATACTGGAGAGCTCCATCTCTGTTTCCCTTTTGCAGTATTTCCACAAATTGCAGACTGTGAAGTTTCAGTAATAGGTCCGATCCATTTGGTTTGAGTTTATCAGAGTTAGTCATGGCCCAGTTCAGTGCTGGCTCTAGGTTCCGATGTTTCATTGCTTCTACTATCTGAAACATTTCCTGAAACTGAGATTTCACAGAAGCTTCAGATTCTGGTTCCTTAGCCTCAGTTCTAAAACAGTCGCCAATTTCGAAAAGGCCATGCCGATAGAAATGGCTGCCAATTATCTCGTTAACTGTGTGTGTATCAAAGTCAATGTTTCTATAAGCCTTGGATATATCAGGATTGAAGAATTTCTCAAGATGCTTTGGATACTTGCTAAGTGCTCCGTTCAGTTCCTTCTGCGTGCCTTCCAACTGACTGAGTGGAGCAATATCTTTTAGCTTCACTTTAAGTTCAGCAAGGGCAGACTTATAATCAACCTGAGACTCGCAATCATTAGATGATTGGATCTTTTGTAATGTCTTCTGGATTTCTTGGTCAATCTGATCGATCACTTCTTGAGCTTTAGAGCTTGACAGTTTTTGTTTCTTTGCAACACGATCAAATGCATCTTTAATGGTGGTCAGCTCCATTTATATTTTCACTATAGTGTATCAGTAGCTTGTGGTGAGAAATGAAGATGATAGAGATCTGCTAAAAATGAAACAATTCTAATAAGCATAAAAATGTTATAGCATACATCTGTATCTTAAGAAAACCTAAACATCAGAAAATCAAACAGGCCCAATTGGCAACTGTCAAGTATGTTCTTATAAACAAACATTTAAAAATAACAAGACCACAGAAACAAGGTTTACAAGGTTAGTCTAGATTTATGCTTCACATGAAATAATTAATTCTCAAAACATGAAATAGATTTACCCCCAAATTAAAACACGGGAGGATAAAGACTACGAAAAATCATAAGCAATGGTTTAATTAAACAGGAAAATTCTTAAAAGGAAAAGCTTCAATTAACTCACTCAGCCTTCAGGTGCCACAAATTTATCAAATAAGTAAAAGAGTCCCTTAATTCATCTAAGGAGGTTTGCATGAAGAAAACTGTGGGCTGTTAGGTGTTGTCGCAGGAGAAACAAACTCATTGCATGTACATATGTGTGTGCGTGTATAAAAACACGTGCAGCCTAAGAAATTTTGACACATCCTTTTAAACCACATAGCATCTGTAAACAATCCCTACTCTCCTAAAGAATAAGGTCCTTACATGAGAAAATATCTTGCTTTAATTTCTTGGACTATTTTGATATTACCTATAATTTGTTTTTATCTTCCAACCAAACATGTGATTGGTGATTATCATGTTGAAATTTCATTAGTCTCATGCTTTGGAACTTCTATTGTTTTTGTGAAGTTTGTGAACCAAATAATATTGGAAATCGGATTGATCATTGTTTTGGATAACCAGTGTGTTGCATGTGGCTCTTAGTCTCGCTATGCTTTGTTCACTACCAATGGGGGATATATATTGGAAATTTGAGTCTGGAACAAGTTTGTCATTTGACCCACGCTGCAAGGGTTTTATGTGGCATACGTCATCCAAAAAACTAAAAAGAATATTGCATGTGTATTTCCAGCTTCTTGCCACATGTCTCTCTTGCCCAAAAACACACCCTTGTTTGGTGTATTGAAGAAATAGTGTACCGTAATGAAAGTAAGATGACTACATCTAAATACATTTCTGAACGAAAAAGGTCAAAGGGCTCGTTTGGGAGTGATTGGATAGGCCAGAATCATTATGGGGAGAACCACCTCCCATGTGCTTCTCCGTATAATCACTTTTAAGTGATTTTAAGTGATTATGGGCAGAAGCACCTCCCATATGCTTCTCCATAAAATCACTTAAAACTACTTAAAGTGATTATTTGGAGAAGTGATTCTCCATAGAAGTGTTTTTTGGCCTATTCAGAATCAATCCCAAACGAGCCCAAACAGTGATATGCAGCATCAGAAAGTGAAAGAAATACACCTATTGTCCAACAGATAATCAGAGAGATAGAGAGAATGCCCTAAACCAATCACCTTTGATGTTAGCAAGTGCAAAATGAGAGAGCTTAAAAAGAGTGAAAAATCTAAGTCATTTAAAAGACTAGAGACATTCCCTTACACTTATTTAAGCCTCTTCACTGGTTCTTACAAGGTTTTTCTAAATCTTTACAGGCTCATGGCTAGGGAATAGGCTGACACGATGTGGTCTGAAGTGCCTCACTCAATTAAAGCAGTGAATGACAATACAAATAACAGGGACCGTTTCTCAATACTCTATGAGCATGTTATTCCCTCTAAATTACTGCACAGTTCAGGGGTCAATCATTTTGAAATCAGCAATATGGCATGGCAAGGGAAAGCCTTGACACATAACAATAAAAGAACCTAAATTTGCCATGTTGGGTCAATCATATCGAGAGTGGTCGGCATAAGACAAAGTGTAAATTACAGTAATTGAATACCCTCAATGTTAGAACAAGAATTCAAATACAAATTTGAGGTTTCTTCTTTTTTGAGATATCAAGTGACCGGCTTTTTATCTTGTTTGAGATTTTCAAGTGATGCAGATGACTTATCTTGATCAACGCAAACTAAATCTCCATTGAAAAATTACAGCAGCTAATACATGAATTTTTTCTCAATTTCCCTCAATTGAATCTTCATTTATGTCCCGTGTGTGTGCGTGAGAGAGAGAGAGACAGAGAGTGTACCTTGAGAGGTTCGATGTTCCAAGTGTAGCGAAGGCTTTCAGCACATCGGCCGGAGAGACGGGAGAAGCGGCAAAAGAGAGTTGCAGATCAGCGAGATAGATGGTGGATTTGTGGTTTAGGTTTTGTCGGTTAAAATTTCTTACAGGTCGATTTTGTAAAAACAATGATTAGCAAAGGGTAAAATGGTATGAACATATTGTGTTTTAGACATAAAAAGAAAAGTAGATAAAAAGCAATTGGTTTTTAATTTAATGGAAAAATTGTTGGGTTTCTTTAGACTATTTCCACCTATTTGTCGTAGCAAAAGATAAGGGCAAAACAATGACTATTACTATTCACGTAAATAGTGACAGCCCTTACAAAAGACTTGTTGTTTTTTCACCCATTGTCATGGACTCATGGTAATAACTATTCACATGAGATATGATGAGAGAAATTTATATAGAGTTTTGGTGTGGGAAGTAAAGAATATGACTAAGTATTTATTTATTTTTAAATTCTGAATTTTTTTGTATTTTTTTTTTCAGATTTTTGTTGTTGCTGACGTCAGCAAACTCAGGGTAGAGCATGGGCTCATTTTGCCTAAGGGCTAGCCTGGTTTGGTGGGCCCCAACAGCTGCCCTAGCAGCTTCAGCCCGCTGGAAGACGAATTTCGGGCTTGGGCCCCCTCCTGCCCTGGCAAGGGCTCAACGCTGGAACTGCTCTTAGAGATGGGCAAATTGTGCGGTTTTCTGTATGAAATTTTCAAAATTTTGTAGTATAATTAAACCAAACCAGTCAGAAGATGGAGAGTAGAGAAGCAACAATATGAGATTCGAGTCCTAAAGACAAGTTCTTAAACCATTCAGGATATGCCATTTTTTCAATATGAGATTTGAGTCCTAAGACAAGTAGAGAGATGAGAGATGAGCAACACCTATGATGGAGTTGAGGAGCGATCGACGAAGGAGAAGATGGAGAGGGAGAGAAGGGCAAAAATGTGGTGTAAAGAGGACTATGGTAAGTTTTAATCATCAACCTCATATGAATAGTAGAGATAAGTTCTAGGCATCAACCTCATATGAATAGTCCCCCTTAATCCTTCAAGTTAGAAGACGACATCCATATTCTTCTTTGATTGTACATGAAATCTAGTTATTTAGCTAATCTAGGCTAGTCCAGTCTAATCCTCCATAGTAAACATGTAAAAAGAACTGAGTTTGAAGTAAACGCAAAGCAATCTACAAAGAACACATTCATCAAAATGAAACACGGAAAAATAGTCTCTCACAAATAATTTATGGATCTAGTAGGGCAACAACATGCAAATTCAAACATTTTGATTACTGCTGAGGAATGCGGATACTAAAACTAAACATAGATCAAGTTTCATGAGCTGAATACAACTCTGAAAAAGCATATTGCAATCACATGCAAACTCAGTTGGATCCTTCCGAGGCTATCAGCATATGACTAATTTTTGATAACCGGACAATGTCAAATGATCTCCTCTTCAACACAACCTTCGTCTTTGATACAAAACCAACGAAACAAGAAAAGGCAGCCACTTTGATACCAAACAAATTTCAGTCAACTTCAGGCTTACTATCAAAGACTTCTCTTGCTTCAAGTGCATCGGCACAATAACGCTTCGACAAAATTTCAACTTGTTCAGCAAAGGACTTAGTTCCATGCCGACCAATGTGCTTGACCATTTGATTCCATCGCTTTCGACATACATCTCCAGACCTATGCTCAAGCAAATCATCCCAATTAACGTCTTCCATGCAACAAGCATCCAAGCTATCGAGAGCATAAAGTAGGCGATAATCATCAGTATCAGACCACAGACCTTCAGTTACTAAAGGCGATGTTAATTGGTAATACCACTTCTGGCAGCAAACGGGATTGGTTCTGCTGCCCAAAGTCTCACTAATTGACTCCCACTTAATATTATCTCGCAGCATGCCATGCTTGGATTTTTTTTCTTCCAACACCCTCATCTGCAGATCCTTGTTCACTAAATCAAATAAAGTCTGGTACTCCTCTTGCGACCACTGTCCTTTCTTCATGTTTGGCAGTTTTATTCTACGCCATGCATCCTTGACATGAATTCTGTGTTTGCCAAGTTCATTACCCACCTTTCTCCAATTGGGTTTGGGTTCACCTTTAGCCTTAGCTTCCATAGCGGCACGTCTTACTATTTCATACTCTTCAGTGGTCCAATTGCGTTCCTCAGCTCGTTCAAATAAAATATGGGCTCGATAATATATGCTCTTATAAGGCCTCCAGGGTAAGAATCCCCCAATATCCTTCCAACAATTTCTTATTTCAGGGTTGGATCCACAATTGAGTATCTTGTCGATGCCTTCCTCACCTAAGCCATGTTCCTCTATGTATGTTAAAACAGCCTCTTTTACAAGCTTGTCTTCTTCTTTTGAAAACCGCTTACCTCGTACTAAGCCCTTTTCCTCATCTTTTGGGCCATCAGATGGTGAAAAGACCTCCACATCATCAGCAAAACTTACTCTTTTTGTGGCTTTCTTAGGTGTAGAATTTTCAGAAAGATCAGGACCCCTACTACTTTTTTGGGTTCTTAGGCTTCCTTTATCTGACTTAGCTTTTTTCATATGTTTCTCTGACTTGGCCCTCTTCTTCCCTTTATTACCATCTTCTACATTCACATCATCTATGTTTCTGTTGCTTGTCTCATCTCCAGTTGCATGCACATTACCGTCATTCTCTAAGAAACTATTTTCTTGAATTCTACTGCTTTCTGTGCCCAGTTTCTCAACCACAGTTTCCTGCATTTCACTTCTTGAATTCTTTGTATGCTTTCTTTTCTGTTTCTTCATGATTCCACCATTCTCCATGATTTTCCCATCTGAATGCTCACTTTCTACTTCAGTCTCCTTTCCATCAGTTGTGATATTCTGTACCAATTGACCACCCACCTTTTCTCTCCTCTCTTTCTTCTTTCTTTTCTTTTTATCCACTTCTACTTTGTTCAATTCGGCAACGTCTCTGTCTTTAGAGCAGTTAAACCTCTTAGCTGACTCATCCATTTTGTCATCCTCAAAGAGTTTCTTTCTCTTCTTTTCCTTACCAGCAAAGTCAACTTCTTCCATGACTTTCCCATTGGATTTGTCACAATCTTTTATGAGCACCTGTTCTGTAGTCAGGTTTGACTTTAATTCACTATCAGCCACCTTCATTTCCCTCTTCTTTTCTTCTTCTTTTTGACCCCTTCTCCACCATTCCTGTCAAATTTCTGCACCTGAACTAACTCGCCCATTTTGTCCTTAGAGACTTCAATCAAAGAGGAATTTCTATCAGCTTCATCCTTCTTCCTTTTCTCCTTTAACTTTTTCTTGTCTTTCCTTGCTTCAAACTCCAAATCTGTTGTCTTCTCCCTTCCCATGTTGGTTTCTTTTGATCTTGAACAGAAATAAATAAATAATCAGGGACCAATAACTTCAGTAGTTTGTGATGAGAAATGAAGATGGAAAGAATCTGCAAAAAGAGGAAAGAATTATAATAAGCTTAAAATGTAATAGCATAGATAGCATACAACTGTATCTTATGAAAATGCTAATCATGAGAAAATCCAAAGGCAAATTGGCAACTGCCAAATATGTTCTTATACATAGACATTAAGAGTTACGCTTCACATGAAATAATTCATTCTCAAAACATGAATAGAGAACTACCAGAAAAAGAAAAGCATAGGAGGATAAAGGCCTCAAAAATTCATAAGCAATGGTTTAATTCAACAGGAAATTCTTAATGGAAAAGCTTCAGCTAAAACAGCCACTCAGCTGCCACAAATTTCTCAAATAAGTGGCTCTTAGTCTCACTATGCTTTGTTTCCTGCCAACATGGGATATATACAGATAGTTTGGTTTTGGACACATGCTGCAGGGTTATTTGTGGCACAAGTCATCTACAAACCTAAAGAAGAACATTGTCTATGTATAACCAACTTCTAGCCACATTTTTGCTTAGTGTGAAAAATAGTATTGTGTAACGAAAGTAAAATGGATACCTCAAAATACATTTCACAGTGAAAAACGTGTGACCAACTAACAAACAATGAAAATGCAGTGTGCAGAAGTGAAAGGACACATATTGTCTAAAAAATAATAAGAGAGGCAATGTCCTAAACTAATCACCTTTGATGTTAGCAAGGGAAAAATGAGAGACCTCAAAAGGGTGAAAATCTAAGTCATTTAAAAGACTAGAGACATTCCCTTGCACTTATTTAAGCCCCTTCACTGGTTCTAACAAGGTTTTTCTAAATCTTTACAGGCTCATGGCTAGGGAATAGGCTGACACGATGCGGTAGTGAAGTGCCTCACTCAATTCAAGCAGTGAATGACGCTACGAATAACAGGGACCGTTTATTAATACTCTATGAGCATGTTATTCCCTCTAAATTACTGCACAGTTCAGGGGTCAATCATTTTGAAATCAGCAATATGGCATGGCAAGGGAAAGCCTTGACACATAACAACAAAATAACCTAAATTTGCCATGTTGGGTCAATCATATTGAGGGTGGTCCGCATAAGACAAAGTGTAAATTACAGTAATTGAATACCCTCGATGTTAGAACAAGAATTCAAATACAAATTTGAAGTTTTTTATTTTTTGAGATATCAAGTGACCGGTTTTTTATATTGTTTGAGATTTTCAAGTGATGCAGATGAATTATCTTGATCAACGCAAACTAAATCTCCATTGAAAAATTACAGCAGCTAATACATAAATTTTTTCTCAATTTCGCTCAATTGAATCTTCATTTATGTCCCGTGTGTGTGTGTGTGAGAGAGAGAGAGACAGAGAGAGACAGAGAGAGTACCTTGAGAAGTTCGATGTTCCAAGTGTAACGAAGGCTTTCAGCACATCGGCCGGAGAGACGGGATAAGCGGCAAAAGAGAGTTGCAGATCAGCGGGAGAGACGGTGGATTTGAGGTTTAGGTTTTGTCGGGTTAAAATTTCTTATAGGTCGATTTTGTAAAACCAATGAATAGCAAAGGGTAAAATGGTACAAATATATTGTCTTTTAGAAATAAAAAGCAATTTGTTTTTTATTTAATGGAAAAATTGTTGCGGTTTTCTTTCTGAAATTTTCAAAATTTTGTAGTATAATTAAACATTAGTCTCTCTGCAAGCGCTTCCGCACCTGTAAGATACTTTTTAAAAATAATTTTAATTTTTTTTAGAATTAAAATAGATAATGGGTAGTTGTGTTCCATAAATAAGATAATTGATCTTTTTTTTATTTTAATTTTAATTTTTTTAATATGAAAAAGTGTGAATTTATCATATTATCCTCATTTAATTAATAATTTCAATTCTTAATTTTTGTATTAACTAAAGGTATTTTCTGGTATTTTGAATGTTTTACTATTCCCCCCACCAAGGCTCTTGGTTCGCCCTGTGGTTTTGGCTCAACATCGAACCAAATCGAACCGAGCCCACCTTTAAGTAAAACATTGGATCATGATCACATGAGATGGCACCACAGTGGAAAAGTATGCTAACTTGGGTGTGGGGGAAAGGGAGAGTTTGACCAACTTTTTCACTGTGGTGTCACCATGTGCATAACCCTACTATGTTTATGTAAGTAGAGAAAATAAATTGTCAACGGTGTCTAGCTCCAATGAAAAAGGATTTTGACTTGCAAATCAATGATCTCAAGTTTGAACTCTCGTGATACTTTGATAGTGTGTGTGAAACCCCCTTGCCCCTTCTCCTTATAGTTTAGATGATCGTTTGTATTTTTTGTTTTTTGTGTTTTTTTTTAAGTGGAGAAAATAAATTAACTAATGCTAGAGCCCAACCAAAAGCTAAGGCCAGAGAAAAGTCCATAAACAAGCTAGACCAAACAACCTGGTCACAAAAGAAGATTAAAACCTAGGCCCAAATGTAAAATTTGAAACTAGAACCCACGAAAGAACACAACAAAGATCAGATCAGCCCAAGACCCGAGGAACGTCCCAAGTTCTTGACGTTGCTTTCTTTTATTTTTATTTTTATTTTTTAGACAACCAAAAAAAAAGGCTGTGGCCGGCCTGAGTTTTTGACACATTATAGGAGAGTGGTTTGCATGTCTGTGTCACTATACGTTATAAGCAATCAAAGATGTAATAAAAGAAATGGAAGTTTGTGGCTAAATGCATGTCGAAAAGGGCTGAGGATCCCTCTCACATCATATGTGATGTGAGATTACACAATAATTGGATTGGATAGCTTCTCAATAGGAGTTTTGCAAATTGGTAGTGGTCATCTCCCATCCCAGCCAATCCTGCAATCAAAGCAAGGAAATTTCCATTTCAACACAAACAAAAAATCCCAAATTACTGTGTGCGAACGTGTTTTCATTGCTTTTGAAAGCGCTAAAATCAGTTTTAGCCGACCATAGTTATTTTTTATAGGGTTTGACACAAATAGTTATCGTTGAGCAATGAACCTACTTTTTATGAGAAAGACCGTGCCTTTTTTTTTTCCGGGACGAAAGAACATGCTTCCTCATGTTGCATTTTCAAGTGTTGAATTTAACCCCAAAAAAAAATATGTACTTCTAATAAAAGCATTTGTTTTATAGCAAAAGTGCTAATTCGCACTTCTAGCATTTATCCTAGCAAAACTATTTACTTGTTCAAACTTTGGAGACGTAAAACAAAACAAATAAAAATTGTGAAGACACTTAAGATACGGATACCAAATAATTATAGATGTATAATTAATATTGCAACATCACACGCCATGACACTTGAACAACCCAAAAATGAGATTGAGAATGCATGAGCACAATAAGGTCCACTTATCAAGAAGCTTCGTACCATAACCACAAACCGCATACTCCAATGCCTTCTCAAACTCAAAGGGATTTAAAGACATGTAAATCGCTTTCAATTGCAGAAAGTCCAAGAATTAACATTAAAATTCACTTACAACACGCGATTTGCAGGTGATTGGATGTATATAGAATTCACTTAAAAATCCTATTTCTGATAGAAAATAATTAGAGGCACTTTTTTTTCATTGTCCAAAAACCAAAAAGAAAGAAAAGAAAAAACTTCAATTTTTTTTTTATAAAAATGAGTAAAAGTTCAGGAAGAGATTGACTACTCTCATCATCAGAGTTAAAGCATCCCCACAACCTCGAGTCGGAAGGATTTACGCGTGGCACTCAATTGTCAACTCCTACATGTATAGATTTATATGGAAAATTACATATCGCGCACAAATTAGAATTGTTGGCAACAAGACTCAAACACTAATAGAACTACACACAATGCAAAAACCTTATTAACTGAACCAACCCTCGTTTGCAAAAAAAACTTTAATTTGTTACAACCAGAAGTAGACAAAACACAAGACGAAAAATGTCCGTTCCCTCCAGAAAAGAAAAAAAAAGTGATGAATATTATAAAGTATGGGACCACAGAATGAGAAATTTCAGTGAACAAGAGTCATTCTCCTCCAAGCTTGGAACTTCCCCACAATCTTCTGTTTTATTTATTTTTTCAAGAAATAGTAGCCACCTCCCCCCAAACCAGACAAAAGCAGGCCATACCATTGCCACTCACATACATCCATATTTCCATTCCTCTCGTTTGACCCATCAATGTCACAAGTATAAATTAAAAATGGCGCTGTCACAATTATATAGATTATATAGCATAGTCCCTCCCCTGGTTCCTCCTACAAAAGCCATTTACTTGTACCAACCGAACCTTTTGAATTCTCGACACCTTCATTGAAAGTTTCACTCGTAATGTATAGTTTATGGGTGTTCCTGGTGCTTCATGTGAATGGCTTCTCGAACCTAGTTGAAGTCTAGGCCATCAAAATTCATTCAAGGGCTTGTGCACAGTGAATTTCCACGAGCTTGCACAAATGCAAGGAATTGGAGCGTAGAAATCTCGTCACATGAGCTTCATTCATTCGTCAATTGCTACAGCTTTTCATGTGACGATTGCTACGGCTCCTCCTCCTCCTCATTTGATGAATATTCTTTGTATTTGTACAAATAATATTTCAGGGTATGGAGGATAGTTTTATATGTAATTTTTAGAAGTCTAGAAGGAGAGACTAAGATCTATTATAGGTGAACATTATATTAAGAAGGAGAGACCTAAAAGTCATTTGTTTGTTATAGTATCATAGATAACATCATACAAAATTGATTTTGATTTTCATTGTGGTAATTTATAGCTACAATATTGTAGGTTAGTGGCAGAGTTGAAAATTTATCATACAGGAGATAAATAAGTATATAAAAATGAATATAGATGGGTATACATCGGCCTTTTAAAAGGGCATTTCATCAAACACCTTACCCGTTTTTTTAAAAGAAAAACTAAAAATCACTAAGGTCAAATACCATTCTCACTAAAGATTAACCGAAGAA